CTCCTCTTTTATGGGATCTATGTTTTTTTGAATAATTTGTATCCTTTATCAGTATGTTCCAGTCACGGATTTCATCCCACCAAGTTTTAGTGGCGGGATTCCAACTATATCATATCTATTTTCATGTATTAATCATTCAAGTTCATCCTATTTGTTCCTCAAACTTTGTGCATTTGTATATAAGCATTTGAGATCTTCATGACTGACTCTGGGTATGCTTCCTATGTCTCCTATTTGGTGTTTGAGTTTGTCTTCCTTCCCATCCCTCCTTACCTAATTATTTGATTTGTTTTCTAGGGGTCTTTGCTTGCAATTAGGTCCTGGATATCTTAAAGATTGGTCACCCTCCCCCCCCTCAATTTTAGTTTAAAGCCCTCCTGATAAGTTGAGCCAGTCATTTTCTGAAAACATTCTTCCCAGTTTTTGTGAGGTGCAGCCCATCCCTTGCCAAAAGCCCATTGTGGAGATAGTGCAGACCATAGTCCAGGATTCCAAAGTTATTTCGGCAACATCAACCCTTTAACCATTGATTCACTTCTAGAATTCTTTATTCTCTTACTGGATGTTGACTTTTCCTTGGCAGTACAGAAGAAACAACCTAACTGCTTAACTTTCTTGCCTAGCTGCTTGTAATCATTCAATATTGTTTTCAGGTCCATTTATGTGTCATTCATCCCCTACTTGTAGTAATAAAAAAGGGTAGTAATCTGTGGGTTTCATTACTTTGGTTAGGTTCTCAGCCACATCTTTGATTTTTGGTCCAGGGAGACAACATACCTCTCTGGATTGCTACTGTCTGGTCTACAGACAGCTGGTCTGTTCCTTTGAGAATTTAATCTCCTGTCACCAACACTTGCCTTTTTGGGGGGAGTGCGGGGTAGGGAGGTTTGGGGTATTTTTCTACCTGTCACAGAAGCACTTGATGATGCTACTTTTTAAGGGACATTTGATGATGCTTCTTTTCTAGGTGTCTGCATGTTTTCTTCCAGGAAAAGTCTATGAAATCGATTGCTCAGCACTCAGCACCATCAGAGTGGATTGGGTTGGATTCTCTTCTCTGCTTGCAGCTGGCCTCACTTGCTCAACCAGCTTGCTACTTTGTTCTCCACTGGTTCATTTTGCTGCCCGCAGTCGGTTTGCCTCTCTACTTCAATGGGCCTCTGGTCCCTTGGGTAGGCCTCTCGATTGCAGCTGGGCTTCTCTCAGCAGCCAAAGTTCACTGTGGGCCCTAGGTGGCGTTTTCCTCCTAATTTCTCCAATCTTCCTCTCCTTTTCCTTTCTCGAGTCCTTTTTCTTTTTCTGTGACTTTCCTCACCACCTCTCCTCCTACCATTTTATTTTAGTTTAAAAGCAACTTTTCTCCCCATTATGTAACAATGCTTCCTCTGTTGCCACCATCTTGGCTTTCTGACTTTTCTGAGAATTCTGGTGCACCATCCTATAAGAAAATGTGGCTACTTCCCTACTTTGGATAGCAAGTAAAATTGATAATCAACTGCATTGAAATATCTGAGCTTTTCTCAGCTTGATGATTCCTAGATGAGCCAATGTTTATCAATCTTGGCAACTTTAAAATGTGTGGACTTCAATTCTCCCCGCCCAGTCACTCCTTAAGGTATTTCTTCCCCCCCCCCCCCCCCTCCTGATGATCAGTTGTTCTGACGATCAGTTGTGCCGGGATCCCCCTGGCTGACTTACTGCTTCACCCAGAAGGCTTCCCTGAGGCCCAGGAAGGCAAAAAACAGAGCATGGGGAGGGGGCACAGCACACACACACACACACATACACCGCATGCCCCTTTTTGCCTCCTGGGCCTCAGGGAAGCCTCCTGGGTGAAGCAGTAAATCAGCGAGGGGGATCCTGTCACAACTGATCATCAGAACAGCTGATCGTCAGGAGGGGGGGGGAAAGAAATACCTTAAGGAGTGACTGACTGGGTGGGAAGAAAGCAGTCAGCGATGTTGGGCATGCGTGCGATGTCATGCATATGCAATAAGGACTGACTGGGCAGGGAGGGGTGGGCAGAGAGGGGCGGGGCCAGCCAGGGGCACGATTTGCCAGGGTATGATTCTCCGAACTGTGCAGAATCGTAACAACTGGTTCTATAGAACTGGTCCAAACCAGTACAATCTCACCCCTGTATAACCTATAAAACAATGACTGGTACACATTGCTGCCCATGATGTGGACATATTGGTATAAAGTTGGGACAGACAATTAGCTCAAAGAAATGGCTGAAGGATTCAGTCTGATTATTTCTCTACATTGATAACTTTCAAGCATAATTGTGATATGCTTCCATTACGTTTTCTAGAAGAAGGTATTCCCAAAACCTCTCCAAGTTCAAACATGTTTCCAGGAGGAATAAAGTGGACTAATTGCTACAGTTCAAATACATTGATTATTTTTATCAGGCTTCTCCAATATAGTTACAGACTGCCATTTGACAGGGATGATGGGGGGGGTGTCTCCTGCTTGGATTGGAGGGGTTGGACTAGATGACTTATAAGGTCCCTTCCAACTTCGTTATTTTGTTATTAGTCTAGATTTCCCATACAGCATCAACATAGGCCTTTTGGCTGGGAATTCTGGCTCTTGGAGCCTATCACAAATGTAACTTCTAAGTTTGATCTGAAATTCAATTTAATTCTGAGAGATTTCACATGCTAACAACTGACAGTGCTTTAAATAAGATTTGTACATATCTTACTAACTTAAACTACTATATAATGTAAAAAATTTCTTTTCCCTCATTGTACTTTTATCTGTATCAGTAGAGAGCTACAGTTCTGAACTTGATATTTCTACAAGTTCTGTGGAAGAAATAAGCACCTCTAAGTTAAGCAAAGGTAATATCTAATTTTGTTTTTCCCAACATGAATTACCATTTCTTCTGCTCGGTGCACCTTGAATAGCAACTAAACTTTTCATCCATGGGCTCTGAGTATATTGACTGCAATTGTTCCCTACAGGTAGTCTTTGTTTAGCAACCGCAATTGGAATTGGCAACGTGAAGCAACCACTAAGTGAAACTTATGATCTTAGTTCAGTTTAGCTTTGCTTTACGTGTTAATTTTGCAAATGTGAGGATTGGTTGCAAAGTTACTTTTTCATCACTGTTATAATTGCAATCAGTTGCTACACGAAACAGTTGCTAAACAAGGTCTATCTGTACAATACAGCACAACACGGAACAGAAAAGTCTTTTTGACCTATAAGGAAGAAACTGTGAGAAACAGAAGTATCTGTAGAGTGTGGTGGTAGAAAATAAATGACAAAAACCTCATTGTGTTGTTGTTATCATTCTGCACTTTAATGGTGGGGAGTATGAGCCTATTTGTCCTGTGATCCGAAAGGTCCTCCTCATTTAGAACCTTTAAAAAATATGCTACTGTACTGAATTTAGACAAAATAATTAACAGAGATCCTATTCAATATATGTTTTACACTGAATTAGAGACTAATTCTTTTTCTTTCTTTCTTTTTAAACAAGAAAGATATTGTATTCTTCAACTGTAATTCTTGAATTCCTATTGCTTAATCAAGACCATTCTGTGGCAGCACCAACCCACTCAGTAGCCTGAGCGGTGGGAGCTGCAGACCAGGCTTCAGTGGCAGTCTATGGACTCCAATCCTCAGTGGGGTAAGGCTGTATTGGGACAGAAGGCACTTGTACCCCTTCAGACCAATCAGACACTTCAGGTTGTGGAGGTGCAGTGAATTAAGGGGCAGGTGCTGTCCATTCGCCCTGGAACTCTTCCTTGGTAACTGCCTTCTCAGCTGCAGCCTGTTCTTTTTAATCTCTTCAGGATCTCAGTAGAAATAGAGATCAGGCATAACTTCCCATGGATGCTCATGGGATATAGTGCCATGCATTCGCAGGACTTCCCAAGCCAATGTTCACCACATCAGACCAACTGAGTGAGCCCCCTTGTTGTTACAGGGAATAGCAATATCCACATAACATAGGGGAGAATCTGTATTGCACAAGGCAATGGTGGGAATGTTTACATAAGGTGCTTCAGTCAGAGGCTGATGATCAGCTCTTGGATCAGTGACCACCAAAAGGCGGGGTTCACGAAAAGCAGCTGGATCTGATTGGTAAACGTGCCAGGAGTGAACCTACCAGCAATTGGAGTTGCATCAGTAGCTGCAGCAAATTTCAAAACAGCACGCTGCCTAGTATTCCTGGGACTAATTCCTAGAGTATCCTATTCTTGTTTTATTGTATTGTATTGTATTGTATTGTATTGTATTGTATTGTATTGTATTTATTTTTATTTATTTATTTATTTGATTTGCCAATTGTTTACAAGATAATAAGTATAAATGTATACATAGTTGTGAATACATGAAATGGTTACATATAAGAAAAATAAAAGAATAAGAGAAACAATAGGACAGGGACGGTAGGCACGTTGGTGCGCTTATGCACGCCCCCTACAGACCTCTTAGGAAAGGGGTGAGGTCAATAGTAGACAGTCTAAGGTTAAAGTTTTTGGGGTTTGGGGAAGAAACTACAGAGTCGGGTAGAGTATTCCAGACATTGACCACTCTATTGCTGAAGTCGTATTTCCTGCAATCAAGTTTGGTGCGGTTTACTTTGAGTTTGTATCTATTGTGTGCTCTTGTGTTGTTATGGTTGAAGCTGAAGTATTCATTGACAGGTAGGACATTGCAATGTATGATTTTGTATACCATGCTTAAGTCAGACCGAAGACGGCGTAATTCAAGGTTTTCTAGTTCTAGAATTTCAAGTCTGGTGGCATAAGGTATTCTACAGCGAGTAGAGGAGTGGAGAACTCTTCTTGTGAAATATTTCTGGACTTTCTCAATTGTGCTAATATCAGATACGTAGTGTGGGTTCCAGACTGATGAACTGTATTCGAGTATTGTATTGTATTGTATTGTATTGTATTGGATAGAGTATAGTATTCCTATAGACTCATTCAAGTGGAAACTAATTCAAAAGCTCTATATGAAAAGTGCCCATTCTTTTTTTTGTAGAAAATATTGCACATGAAGTGAAATATAATGAGAGACATATTGAAGGTGAGATGTTGTTGTTGTTTTTGTTATTACTGTATTTTTATGAATTGCTGTTAATAGGATATCTACTCTCAGTTAAATGGCTTCCAAAAGATATTTTATTATTACAGCTTCTAGAATTGCAGTCCTGAGTTCTGTAGACAAGACTAACCCTTCCTCCACCTAGATCGTAAATAAATTAATACAGTGCAATGTCCATTTAATTATTCATTTTTGTCAAAAAAAAATCTGAGGCAATTAAAAAAATTTTTTTAATCTTTGTTAACAAATTCTGTAGGTCATTACAGAAAAGGGGTCAATAGAAAAGAGACCTGAAATCCTGTTGACAATGAATGGTGTTACTCAAAAATACTCTGTATATGATAACGTTTATGTTGATAGATTATTTGACCTACAATATATACACATTTTTAGGTATGGATACACTTTTATTTGCTCTTAACATTATACAAGCACCATATTCAAGCCACACTGCATTTCTACCTCTTTTTTAATACCTATATCGTTCTTTTTAAAGAATTGATTGATGTTCTATGTCTTAATCCAATCTTCCTGAGCGTGTCCTATAAAATGCAAACTCCTATTATCAAATCACAGAAATCTATGGCAATGATTACTAAAGTTAAATCTTCCTGATTTTGTTTTGTTTGTTTGAAGATATCTGTATATGCTGTGGAGGATTTGAGATTCACACTCAACATCCTTTGTTTCACGGAGGAATGTGTGCTCCTTGTTCGGTGAGCAGCTGACAAATGTGATCACTTTTGCTTCTCTTCTTTTAGCTTGAGCCATACCCCTTCATCCAACAGAGTGAATCTTTCTGCTGGCCCTGGAATGTAAGAATTACTAGCCATGGCAGAGAAGCTATCTTCTTCTATGGCACAGAGATGCACTATCTGAAACCCAGAGACTGCAGAAATATCCAAAAGACTTCAAAACTTGTTTTTTGCCACTGTGGTGTTTCACGTGGTTAACTGGAGATTAATCAATCCTATTTATTGGTCCAGCAGACAGAATGGGAGAACTTGACACTACTAGCTCAACCTGACCAGCAGGGGGTGTCTTCCCCTCCCTTGCTGGCCACATTGAGCTAGTGGCATCTATTCGTCATAGACACTCCAGTAGAAGAGGTTTCTCCATATGGCTCCTGTCCTTTGGAACATCTTGCCCCCTGGGTGAGGTCTGCTTCCACCTTCCTGATTTTCCATAAGAGCCCAAAGAACTGGTTCTGCCAGTTGGCCTGTGGTTCCAATGGGGAAGTTTCATGCTGGAGGTAGTTGATAATGAAAGATCCCACCTTCTCTCTGCATGTCCTGCTACCTCCCTCTCCATCTTTTAATTATAATTTATATTTATTTTATTTTTAAATATGTTTATTAAATGTATTTCATCATTTTATATCACTTTTACAGTCTTTGCAGCGTTCCAACATCAATAATATATATACAATTATACATTCCTTTTTCTTCCTTTAACTATATACTTTGCTGTTAAGTTTGATACACCTCTTAAATTACCTTTATATTTAATCTTTACTTCTATTTTCTAACCATTTATACCATGTCACCCAGACCAATAATATTCCATTTCCCCTCTTTCTTTTAATTCTAATGTTAGCCTGTCCATCTCCACACAATCTAACACCTTTTTTATCACCATTTCCTCAGAGGGCGTGCTGTCCTGTTTCCAGTTTTGCGCATACACAATTTTGGCTGCAGTCATTGTGTGCAATATAATATATTGAATGTTTTTACTGTAGTTTCCTCTTATTATCCCTAGTAGAAATAGTTTGAGTTTTAACTCAATTCATTGACTCGTGATTTCCTCTAGCCATTTTCTTATTGTGGTCCAATACTTCCTAGCTTCCGGACAAGACCACCACATATGAAAAAAATGTGCCTTGGTTGTGTTTACATTTCCAACATTCCGCAGATGTATTTGGAAACATTTTCACCAATCTAGCTGGGGGTAAATGCCAATGATAAAACATTTTGTACAAATTTTCTTTATAAGCTGTCAACATTGTTAATTTATAGATTTTCCCCATAGTTTTTCCCAATGTTGTAATTCAGTATTATAGCCAAAGTTCTGTGCCCAGGCTATCATGGTTTATTTGACTGTTTCTTCTTCCATTTTAAATTTCAGGAAATAGTTATATGCTTTTGTTATCATTTTCTCCTCCGTCCTTTGTATTATTTTGTCAAGTTCTTGTTGTTCCTTGTAAAAGCCATATTTTTCTAGATCCTTTTTATATCTTGTCTGAATCTGCAGATATGGCCACCAATCTATATCTATTCCGTGTTGTTTTAACTCTCGGTTTGTATTTAACTTCCCTTGGGCATTTAATAGTTCTTTATACCTTACCATTTTATCTAAGTCTAATACATTTGGGTATTTCATGGCCTCCATAGTTGATAACCAAACTGGTATTTTAATATTTTAATTTTTATTTTCCCCCAAAATCTATAGAACAGCATCTCACTTGAAGTCTCTGAAAATAGATGTGTATTTTACTTTTCCCTTCCCAAATAAATCAATGCCACCCTAACTGCAAATCATGGCCTCCTAATGTCAATATCTGTGTTGTGTGTTTCTCCTCCTTCCTGAGGGGGCAGTTTAAGTCAACATGGAAGGGAATGTATCTCAGGCCGCTGAACTATCAGAAGCCACAGGGGCTCTCTCCAATTCTATTCAACAGGCTGTAAACATGAAATTATTGGGAGAAGTCATCTATCAATACAGGATCAGGTGTTATCAGAATGCTAATAATACCCAATTTTATATCTTGATCTTGGGTCAAAAAAGCAATATGGCTGAGAAGCAATTAGTGTTCCTTGAAAATAAAACTAAAATGCACGTTTTGTAGATGCTAACTGAAATAGAAGATGCTAGTGAGAATGATCAGAGGTGTTGGTATTATTCGTAATACCTATTTAGTATTAGTACAGTAGTCATTTACAGCATCACTGAAAATGCATAACAACCCCAGTGATCCTTTCTAAGTAAACTATATTCAGACTTCACTTCCTATTTATAAAATAAGACTAATAATTTTAGCCTACTGTATTTTAAAGTGTTATTTTATGACTGGCTGAAGCATGTGCGTGCGTGAATTTTGAGTAAACAATAGTATGAATTATGTTCATACAGTATTCAGTAAATAGTATTATTAATTAAAATAATATTATGCCCTTTTTCTTTTTATAAGGAAAGACTTTTGGAAAGATTCTTCCTGTGTGATGATGATGGGTACCAAGCTGATTGTACCATCTGCTGCTGGGGCAAATCTCTAATAATGTGTGATCATTCAGCATGTCACAAGTGAGCCATATCCAAATGCTACAAATAAAAGTTTAAAATGCTACAAAGTGTGAAGTTGCAAGTCTTTGTTTTGCATTGAAACTTTAAATGGGAGGGGGGATAAAATATTCTTTTGTTTGACTTGATTTGATGGTGTATGTGATATCTTATTTATTAAAAATCATCAAAATGACTAAATGGGAAGTTGGACTTGACAGCAGTAGTAATAATTTACTATTACTACTACTGTAACGAAGGGTTAATATTCCACCTTAATTGCAGTTCTATTCAGTTAACAAAATTACCACCATAAAACCTCAATTTTTTCTGATTTCTGTTGTTTTTTTGATTCATCTCATGATAATCTATTTTGCTGGATGTGTTTATTTGATAGCAAAGTGATATGAAATAGAGAGTGGTGCTTTTTCTAATAGGGAAGGAACCATCATGCAAAAAAGATCCAGCAAGATCCAGCTGTTATTGGGAAGAGGGCCCTCTTACTCACACACATGTAGGCATACACACATTTCCCATGCTTTCAGTTTAGAATTTAGAGGTACTCACCTTCCTTCCAAGCAGCCTTTGAGCTCAACACTCAAAACCCCTTTAAACCCTTTTTAACAAATGGCCAAGGTGCAGGAAAACTCACCCACAGACTCAATGTGTCTGCTTGCCGGCAAGGGAATCTTACCTGGGCATGTCCATTGGTTAGGTTAGCTTGGAGTCCCATCTGCTGGGTACCAAATTGTTGAAAGAAATAGCCTTCTGGGTTCAGTTCCAAAAAGATACTGGAAACATGGAGGCTGTTTGGAAAGATGGTTTAATGGTGGACATGACCGCATGGCTTGGAGCTCCAAAGTGAAAAGGATGATCACATGCTTCAAGATGTTGGGTGAAGGAAAAGAAGAAGGGCTAAGATGCTGAGACCCTTAGTTTTATATCCTCCGTTAGTGTTTCCTGTTCCTGTGTAAGAAATGTATCCCATTGGCTGTCAGACTCCCAGGGGCAGGGGTCTTAGCTAACTTTGTAGACTTTGTCTGGACCACATGGCTTAACCTGAGTGCTGGCTGATGCAATCTTCCCAGGCCATGTGGTGAGATGGGTAGAGGGCTTTGTTATGTAGAATACTCTGGCCCAGGCCTTAATGGCCTGCCCTTTAACAAAGGTTGGGGGGTGAGCTTCTGCTTCTGAGATGAGTTTCTGCTTCTGAGTTTCTACTTCTCTTTTTAGGGGAAATATCCTGCCTTCTTAGTATATCCTAAAATATTTCATTTTTCTAGGAGAGGGGTGGGTTTTAACTTCCAACAATACAAAATACCTCAAAGGTATTTTAATAGCACTTCATGGGACAAGTAAAATATGTTATAAAAAAGCCAGATGCATTTAACAGAATCCAGCAAGGCTCGTTCAGGGAACACAAACGAGAAAATAATACTTCGTTCCTTTAAACAATTTTATTTTTAAATTTATTTAGATGCTTTTGTGAAGAATGTGTGGACACCCTCGTTTATCCTGGGCATGCAGAAGAAATAAAAGAAACAACTACCTGGATATGCTTCATGTGTGCACCTCAACGTGTAAATGGATTGCTAAAGAGGAGAATAAAATGGCGTGAAGTTCTGAAACATTTCTATGATCAAGAATCTGTAAGGAAAAGCTCATTTAAAAGTGTTCAAGTATTGCTTGGCTTTAAATTAACTGTAAATTTTGTACCAGATTTTGCACAGAATAATTAGCTAAATTAATTGATTTCTGATAGGGATGCTATTCAGACAGAGATACAATCATTGTTTTATCAAAAGATGGTGTAAATATACAAAGCTGAACAAATGTAAAGCATCCTTCATTTAAATCAAATGGCAGCACACACTTTCAGCTGGCACATTTTACAAGTATGAATTCTGGCTAGATAGATATCATAACTTCAAAAGCGAATAGGTATTTGTAATCCTTATCTCTCCTATCTTGTCCATTCTCATATCCTATAAACTTTTATAGTTTTGAGTTTGAACATCTAAAAAATGCATCTATTTTTAAATGAAAGATTTTTCAGAATGGCTGGTTTAGAATTTCATAAACCTCCAGTACACTTGTAAGAGAGTAATTTCTATGTAGTCCAGGGTCTGGCAAATTATTTTTGCCCAAAGGGAGGCAGGTAGTAAAGGCTAAATAGAAAACAAAGTAAAAAGATAGCATCTTCTTTACTACAATTAAAAGCACAATTACGAATTTACCTCTTACTCTGTGGTTACAATTTAATTCTCTTCGGAAGTCCATAAGGGGTATCCCGTCACCAATAAATTTAGATCTGTTTTTTTATGTTATCAAAGTAGCCAATTTAGCCTTCTCAGCAAGTTCCATCATCTTCACCAACCATTCCTCCATTGTGAGTAGGGTCGAGTATTTCCATCAATTCCACAGAAAAACCTATGGTCTCAATTGTACATTAATCTTTAACATCTTCTAAATCAGTGTGCATATTTGAATCCATAATTTTTAGCTTTTTACAAATCCAACAAACTTGATAAAATATCTCTTCTGGTTGTTCACATTTCCAACATAAATTTGAACTCCTTTTATATATTCTAAGCAATTTTGATGGTGATATATACCTATGGTAGATCATTTTATGAAAATTCTCTGTAAAATTATAACATAATAAAATAGAATAGGAATAACAGTGTTGGAAGGGACCTTGGAGGTCTTCTAGTCCAACCCCCTGCTTAGACAGGAAACTATAGCATTTCAGACAAATGGTTTTCCAATCTCTTCTTAAAACCTCCAGTATTGGAGCATTTACAATTTTTGGAGGCAAGTTGTTCAATCCTTTCAACCTCAAAATTTTAATCCTTTCAACTATGTATTTTCAACTCATAGCCACATTCATATATGATTGGGAGAACATACAAAGATATATTTTATAAAGATTGTTAACATAAAGACACTTAAAACTTTCAAAAAAGTCAGATATAAAGATTTTAATAAACTAGCATAAAATAAAGGTATGATAAAAATGTGCATTAATTATCAAAATGATCTAACAAACAGCTTAAATTGTTATTGAACCTGATGTAGCCTTATTGTACTCATGTGATACATGTAATAATTGAAATAACTATTTCTAAAAATAAGAGAAAATGTGTGAGCTTGTAATTGTTGTTATTGGATTAATATACAAATATTTAACAAATATTTGTTTTATTGATTGAGTTAGAACAGCCCTAATATGTGGATATATCAGCTATTGTCTCCATGGGAGAGAAAGTCGATCCATGTGCTTTCACTTTTTGACAATATTACAGAGGGTAAGTAAACAGGTACAGTAATATAGACATAGTTTTTTCTGTCTACATATAGTAGAATATAACTTACTTAGCTGACTTGGCTCATTAGGAGCTGGCTGTATTACAAAGACATTTATTTATCAGTTGTGTTCTCAGCTGATTGCTCATTGCAGTTTGCATTTTACCAGCAAATGACTAGAAGATAGTGATAGTGATAAGGAATCAAACTCAATTTCATTGAGGGCGTTGTGATTGCTATGGGAGGGGCGGGGGGCATGGCCATGGCGGGCATGGCTGGTGGACATGGCCCAATGGGTGGGCATGGCCAGCTCGAAATTGCTTGCATCGGGGGCGCTGGGGGGTGTTGTGCAAGGCTGGGGGGGATAGAGTCTGGATCACGTTCCTCCACCTGCTGCTTGGAGTGTCAGTACGGCAGTTGCAAGGCTTGGACTCATCTGCACTGCATGGACTGCAGACTCCCAGCTGCCTCTTGAGGATGGGAACTCCCCACCTTTCCCATTTGCTTGGCTCTTCGCAAGTAGGGCAGCAGGCGGAAGACTCATCCCATATGTGCAGCGGAGTTAAAAAAGAAACTTGGAGGCTCCACCCCCACCCCACTACCTGCCTCCCCCACCCTTAGCCGGCAGCACCAGCATCAGGTTAAGGTAGAGGCATGGGGGGAGGCACATGATCCAGCCTGCCAGATGCATCAGCAAGCAGAGACAGACAGTGGGATGGAGGATGCAGGTGGGTGAGTGGTTGCCCAGCACTCCTAATGGGCTGAATCACGTGCCAGCCTGGCACTTGCAGCACCACAGACCCACCTGCACTGCATGTGCTGCAGAGCCCCTCAGCCAGCTAGGTGTTGCTGGATACTATCAACCCTGGTACACTCAATGTCGCCTGTGCGCACACTGGGTGGGCTGTGGCCAGGTTGGTGGCAGCCAATGCCTCACTGTCTCCAAGGTGGCCCTGTGGGCAAAATCTGGGCCTTGTGTTTGACATGTCTAATTGAAATCTTCATTCCTGCCCTCAAACAAGAAGGCTGGTATACACGAGCAAGCAGCGAACTCAGACCATGGATGATGAGGGGGCGTGCATAAGCGCACCAACGTGCCTACCGTCCCTGTCCTATTGTTTCTCTATTCTTTTATTTTTCTTATATATACCCATTTCATGTATTCACAACTATGTATACACTTATACTTATTATCTTGGAAACAATTGACAAATCAAATAAATAAAAAAATAAATAAATGTTGGTTCTTGTGGTCGGCCTTAGATTCGACCCGTGGAGCTCTGCCACCTTGGCCCCACCCCCTGAGTGGGTGAACAGGAGGCAGCAAGCACACTCGTGCTGGTCTCCTGGGTAAAAGAAAAGTGCTCAGAATGGATTCAGCTTGTGGGGCAAGACGGTCCCCAGGGACACCAGGCCCCACATGTGCTCACTACCTCCTGTGCATGCATCCAGGAAGCAGGGTGGGAGCGGCCCCTTGCGGGCTCCAGTGCTGCCCTGAGGATCTAAGTCTGGCCAGGTTCCTGTCCATATGGCTGCCACCAAGTTGTAGATTGGCACCCGGTCGGCCTGGGCTAGTCTGAGGTGATACAGACCAGTCTGCTGCTTCTAGGACAGCCCCATGGGCCAGATGTAACCACCTCATGGGCTGGATGCAGCCTGTGGGGCTCTGAGTTTGGCACCTTTGGTTTAGATCTTTGTGCAGGATACCTTTGGACTTTTCCAAATCTGTTTTTTTTTTTTTTACATCTTTATGAAGGAGAATTTACATCATGATCTGACTACATCAGTCTAAATGTTTCTGGGATTCTATTTCATTTGCAAGGAGTATAGGTAGTTATCCCCCCTCCCTTACACGTACATTGCATGCAATATTGCTTTCTGAATGCTACTTTTAAATTTACATTTGTTTCATTCCATGTTCATGGAAAAATAAATGGCATACTCATTGAGCCCTTTGGTTTGTGTAAGAAATATTTAAGTGTTTAACTCCTGCTGAAATCATTTCATTTATTATGAAAAATATCCACGACCTACAAGTGGCATCAACCTCCATTTTTAAGTAAATGAATATAATCAATCAATCAGTCAGTTGGTCAGTCAAACAAAACACACTATGTAAATATTGCCTGGTTAGCAGATCTGAAAACAATTAATAGCAATAGCACTTAGACTTATATACTGCTTTACAGCCCTCTCTAGGCAGTTTCCAGAGTCAGCATATTGCTCTCAACAATCTGGGTCTTCATTTTACCCACCTCGGAAGGATGGAAGGCTGAGTCAACCTTGACCCTGGTGGGATTTGAACTGCCAAATTGCAGGCAGCCAGTAGTCAGGAGAAGTGGCCTGCAGTAATGCACTCTAACCACTGCACCACTGAAGCTTTATTGGTATGTGTTAATAACTAAACACATACCAATAAATGGAGAATATGTAATTTAATCCACTAAAAACTCTGCTATGTGAACTGTGTTCTTCTATCATTTTACTTAGGAGAATACTGTACATACATACACCTTCCTCATTCCATGTTGTTTAACAGTTCAATTGGCTTTAACAGGCATCTTCGTATGTATCCAAGGCAAACTGAGATCATATATTATACCTAATGTATTTTGCACTTCTCATTTCATCTCTCCAGAATTGAAAAGCTTGGGATTTCTAGGGGAAAGGAGAGGCAATGGACACCTAAAGTACATGGATGATGTCACAGATGTGATAAGAACAAATGTAAGTACAAGATGCTTTATACAACTTTTATTTTTCAAGATAATAGTCAGAATACTGTTAAGAGGGGGGAGGGTTTACATTGATTTATTACACTGTGTGGATTGTTTTGCTGATTATTTTGAGGATGAATTTTTGTATAGTAGAATTGATAAGAGGGCAAGCTGAAAGAAAGTAGAATGGGGAATTGAAAGTTTGGGAGAAAACCAGTGGCAAGAGAAAAAAAGAGTTAAAATAAAGATAGAAACAAAAGCTGAATTTGAAGATAACCTATACAAAATATAGTCACCCACAGTGGAATGGAAGGAAGGTTAGTATATGCTTTCAGCCTGACTGGAACCGAGATCTGTGCGCAGTCTGCTGGAGGAACTGGGTGCCTAAGAGAAGAACTGTACAACTGTTGAGAACTTGAGAAAAATTGAATTTTAAGCATAATCTTCGAGTAAGAGACAGAGGTTTGGGTAGGGAGAATTAGATGTGCCTCCCACAATAAAAAAAAAAAAAGTAGGTTTTGGGATTTTATGCTCATTCAGGAGTCTAGTGAGAGGATTTGGGGGGAAAGCATAGAATGTTTTCTGCTATACTGGGGGGGAGGGGTGTTTGGAAATTATGAATTATTTAATTAATATTCATAATAATTTAATAATACATTTGAATGAATTTGAAATAAACTATTGTCAATGGGCAGAATCTTACCCAATATGATACATTTTAATTGGGACTTGTGGAAATTACTGCTTTTGTCCATTAAATATATTAATTTGTAGATCAGCATTATTAATGATCAGTATGTTAATTAATGAACCAATCAAGTTTCTGAAGCTGATTTATTCTATTTACTAGATAGAAGAATGGGGTCCATTTGATTTTATTTTTGGCTCAACTCCTCCTGTAGCAAAATTTTACAAGCATCCATCTGGTAAGCAACTTAATCATACATAAAATGAAAATATTGATATAAGTACCATGGATTCTGGTTTGTTGAAAATCATTTGTTTTTTGGGTTGCATTTTTGTTCCCTTTTCTGTAAATAGATTTACTTGGGAAATAATTTGATGATTCCATTGATGTTAGTTATCTCCCACAAAAGTATTTATAGCGTAGTGATCTGCCCATGGTGCACATTCCTAAGCATATTTTGTTCTATTCAAGCAAAAAAAAAAAAAATGATTCTAAAAGAAGCAAGATATTAGAGCAATCACCAGTAAAGGTCTCTTCAATCCTCCATGCATTAATTTTGCTCTCGCTGCCGGAAAAAGGAAGCTGGATCCAAATGTTGCTGAACCACATTTTCCAAGCTTCTTAGGAAGTACAGCAATTTTGAGGTACCCTGGAAGTTGTATTCAACAACAGCTACAGTGCCATAAACTCGTGGTGATCATCCAATAATTATAATCATAGATTCCCTCCTGATACACGGGTTACACATCTGAAAGCACAGCTGAATGATCCAGTCACTTATACTGGCACATCTCTTCCCCTTCTCTCCCCCCCACTTGGTCCATTATAAAATCTTTTTGTCAAATAAAGCTTCAGGTATACAGAAAAAAAATAAATCCTGCTAACCTTTGCCCAGTGGTGGGGAGGAACTACAGTCTGTTGCAATTGCTAAATGATGGTAAAACATATCACAAACCAATTTCACCTTTTTGTATCTTGTAGGATTTCAAGACAGCCATCCTAGTGTCCTCTGACAAAAGTTCTATAAACCAGTTTAAGCTCAGCAATAGTGATTGTCTTGTTTTGATGCTCTTTATGGCTGAGTGAGGCCTTGAATCTGAATCATCTTAGTCCTAGTTCAGACATATCCCATTTGTTCTCATTGTTATTGGGTATTTACATAATAGAGTTTGGTGTAGTGATAAAGGCTATCAGGCTAGAAACCTGGGGACTGAATTCTGCCTGAGGGTTGAAGCCAGCTGAGTGAATTTGGGTCAGACATTTTCAACCCTAGGAAGCAACTAATGGCAAACCACTTCTAAAAAACCTTGCAAAGGTAAACTGCAGGGACTAGTACAGACAATTATCAGGAGTCAAAAAGTGACTTGAAGGCTTAAATAAAAAAAGTGGGTACCATTAATCCACTAGACCAATATTATAGTTTGTGATAAAAATCAACCATTCAGGTATTCAGACAACTGAATACTGGAGACACGTGAAGAATATATAAGAGCTTTATTATGAAGCTTTTGCAAAAGGGAATTCTGCCTGTGGGCAGAAAACATTTCTCCCAGGAGGGCTGGGATTTATATACAGGTTCAAATATACAGTCTCTGCCCCTTTCCTGGGTTCACACTCTATCCAAGCTACGTATCTCCCTACACAACACTCCTGTTAATGTAGCATAACATCTGTTTCCTTGTCCTGTTTACCTGTTCACATTTCTAGTAATCTCCATCATTAACATGACACTGGTCAGCATAACCTGCCACATATGTAATTTTATACCCCCAAAAAATAGAAAATTCTTACATAATTTTCCAGTAAATTATCTTAGGTTAACACAGAGGTTAAAGATGGTGTTACCATTGCTTTATATTTTCACAGGTATAATTTTACATATCACAATCCCTCCTGTTCTATTTCACCAGTTCAGACCTGTGAATTACTACTACCTGGTGATTTAACCATCTCCTTATTTCTCGGGTTGGTTTGGTTACAACAATACTTAACGTAATTACATATAGGCATACATTGAATATAGATACAAGAAATGAAGCCAATTATAACAATAATAATGTATCAAATGAATAAGTCTTCCACCCAGGTAAAAATTGATAATCAAGATGTTAATCCATATCATATCCTCTTACTGTTACTCCAGGTTTAAATTCTCCAGGTTTAAATTCTACCTGCAAAACCGTCTCTCTCTCGAGGAGCACTCGTGGAGAGAAGCAGCAGGAGTAACTCTCGTCTCTCAAGACCCCAGCCGAAGTTTCCTACGCTGCTTCTGAGAACGCTTCTCGAGAGAGAAACGATTTTGCAGATAGGTTGGCTAAACTCCTGTCCCTGGAAGTCAAAGTGTTGAAGCGCGAGCAGTGCAGGAAACTTCGGCCAGGCTCCTTGAGCAAAGGCGGAATGCTGATGCCATGCAAATACAAGTAGTGTGGCACTCCTGCACCTTCCAACCATCTCTATCACTGCTTTGGCCTGCCTGTGCCTCCGCCCCCGCTCTTGCCACAACAGCACTATTACCTTGTCCTGGCCAGTGAGGGCTGCACTGCTTTTTGCACGTTGCACCACCTGCAGATTTGCACGTTACACGTGCCACCCCCTATGGCGGAGATTTCCAACCCCACCAGAGGCCTGTCCCATATTCCAGAGCTGCAGTAGTCACAAGACTGGCCCTTTGGTCATCCCAGAGCAGCTCATCCAGTCCATGGCAGGTCAGTGCACCTGCTGCTCCAGGATGACCAAAGGGCCAGTCCTGTGACTACTGCAGCTCTGGAATATGGGGCCTACTTTCCTACCAACATCAGCAAACCACCCTGGGGCGAATTTCCCTCCCCTGCCATTGGTCTTACTTTCCAGTTCCAGCTCGCATGGCTCTACTCAAGGTAAAGCTTGTGCTTGGCTGAAGGATGAGGGCCAGCGGGTGGGTGGGCCATGTGGGAGGCACAGCCTGGATTAACTGCTTTGGAGGGGTCATTTCTCTGTGGACTACCAACATTTTCTCGCAGACCACCAGTGGTCCCCAGTCCACCAGTTAGTGATCACTTTGGAGTGGACACTTCTCTGCAGACCACCAAAATTTTCTCACAGACCACCAGTGGTACCCAGCCCATTGGTTGGCGACCACTGCTCTGGAGGACAAGGTTTAATGGTGGGGGCCGAGCATGCAGGGGCTGTAGCATGGTGATGATGGTGACCAGCTGGGCTGCCTCACCACAATCCCTCTGTCTGTTTTTGTTCCTCCAGTGGGTCAGGCCCCTGGTACTGCCCTCTTCTGCCGGAGACCCCTCTATCCCACCCAGCCCTGCCTGTTTCCCCACAGGTGCCCCTCAATGTGAGCGACGTCAAGCTGATCAAGTCCAACCTGGCCACGCCCACCCATTGGGCTACGATCACCTGGTCACACCTCCTAGCAACACCCCCTCAGCTCCCCCGAGGGCAACCACAATGCTGATGCAGCCCTTAATGAAATTGAGTTTGACACTCCTGATTTACAACCATCATGACTTACAACTGAAATTCCAGTCTCACTTGTGGTCATAATGGTTACCTGTATTATGTGCCAGTGAATTACTGATATGAGACAACTCCCTAATTCAGGGATTTCAAACTCGATTTCATTGAGGGCCGCATGGCTGTGTTTGACCTCAGGGGCTGGGGTAGGTGTGGCCAGGGTGGCCATGGCCAGCATGTCACTTGTTTTGGGGGCACCTGTGGTAGCCCAAGCGTTCTGCCAGCAAAAACAGGCTCCCAAGCTCTGTTTTTAGCTGCAACGGCTTCCTGCAATCCTCTGCCAGCAAAAACGGAGCTCAGGGGGCTCACATGTGGCCCCCGCAGGCTCTGTTTTTGATTGGGATGGCCTTCTGCAACCCTCAGCCAGCAAAAACTGAGCTTTGGAGGACCCCATGTGGCCCTCGTGAGCTGTTTTCACTGGCAGAAGCACTGTGGGCTGGTCCTTCGCTATTTCCAGGGTAGCCCCACAGGCCAGATCTAAGCACCTCACAGGGTGGATCCAGTCCCTGGGCCTTGAGTTTGACACCTATGCCCTAACTGAATGTTATTGAAAAGGTTCTGTCAGATCCGTGTATCATTTCTTCAATGGGAGAAAAAATGGGGGAGGGGACTGATAAAGAAATCCTTCTTGATGTAACCTAAATATATTTAATCTTATATCGAATTTGTATAACCTATACATGATACAATGGAGGGCTGAAACCCAGATGGCCGGAACCTTCCACGGTGAGAAGTGTCCTGGGAAACCCTGAAAAAGATCATTCTAAAAAAGGGGTGGGGGGAATTAACATGTTGGCTCTTTGTTTTACTAAATACATATCAAGATAAGGGGAGGGGTTTTAAACTCCCTTATCTGTCTCTGCATGCCTGAGAGACCTTAGACACTGCTTTAAATCCCTACATGAATGGTCTCATCTCAATAAAGGATTCCTTTTGATACATTTGGTTTTCAGAAGTTCAAAATTCTGGACAACTGAGAAAGATCATGTAGTAGTTATCACTTTTTTTAAAAAGACTGTAATTTATTTTTAGAAACCATTTTCAAATGCTATTTACAAGAAAACAAACTTCTTTCTTCCTTCTAAAGCCTGGTATTTTTACCAATATTTTCGTATACTTCAGTATGGAAGTCCTAAAGAAAAAAATAAAAAGCCATTTTTTTGGCTATTTGTAGACAACATTGTCTTGGATGAAGAAGAGAGGGATGCAGCTTCTCGCTTTTTTCAGGTTAGTTGTAAATCAGTTGCTATTGGGAAGTGAATGAACTGACTTTGCATCAATGATTTAAATACCTAACATTCATGTAGATTTTTACTGGAACAATACAAAATATGATATTGGCTCTGCATGCATCCCTGACATATCCAGGAAAGATTTCAGTTCATCCGGTTGGCATTCACAATGAAACTCGAATGCACAAACATGTGATTACAGCAAGCTTGCATTAAAGTTGACTCCCAGTTTGGTCCCAAGCCTCATATAAATATAAAAGCATTCTACATTGTGTTGTGCGGGGATCTGTGGACCTCACGCTTTCCAGTTGATCCACAGAGTCCCCTTCCATGGTAAAGTTGCCACAGGCTGAGAGCAAAACGGTAATTATTGGAAGTCCTTTATTTCTTCATCTTAGTGTTTTTTCGCAAGTGCAAGGTCTGCCTTTTTCAGATCAACTGAATATTGATCCATTGGTTTCAACAGGAATTGACTGACCAACTTGTTAGCCGAGCCTGATATTGTGGGCTGAGAGAGACTGGTCCAAAGTTACTCAGCTGGCTTTCATGACTATATCAGAAGCAAAACTCAAAGTCTCCTGGCCAAATTAAATACAATTGTGTACAGGTAGTCCTTGGTGTATGACTGTAATGCAGCCTGCCTATTACAGTCACAAGTCATGATAGTCATTAAGTGAGGTGCCCACATAACTACTTTATCTAATGACCCAATACCTGCTCTCTCCTCCCCACCAATTGCAGTTGTTAAACAACTGCATGGATCGTTGGGAGGCCTAGCACAGGACCAGACCTGCATTGCAGCAGCACCCCAGCTTACCCATGGCCTGATTCTAGTTCACATGTGGCCTGTTCCGCTGTATAGGGAGGCTAAAGAATGGATTGTTAGAGCTCCGTAGATTGTGTTTAGGAGAGCTGGCCTGCTCTACCCTTTGGCCTTCCTGAAGGCTGCATGACACCATACAGGAAGTGGATAGAATTTCATTGCGGCCACTCCCAAAATGGTGCACATTTCCTGGACAGTGTCACATGGCCTCCACTGTTTAAATAGACCATGCAGTGGAGCAGCTGCTTCCTGAAAATCTACCAAAAATTAAAATTAAGGGTGGGAAGGAGGCTATGAAGCAGGTCCAAGGCCTGCGGGGACCCAGTGGGGCATAAAAGCAGGCCTAAGACCTATAGGAATGGAGAGGAATGGAAGTGAAGGAGATAGACAGAAGGGACTGCAGCATCCCTGCAATTGGTCATAAGGGTGGGCTGAATGCCAAGTGCCTAAATTTTGTTTACATGACCATGGTGGCACTGCAACAAGGGTCATAAGCCCCTTTATTCAGCAGCGTCATAAATTTGAATAGCTGATAAATGAATAGTCATAAGTCGAAGACTGCCTATAGTTCCGTATTATGTGGAATGATTATTGTTTGGAGACAACCTTCTTATGGTTGAGGTATAAATATGTTTATAGATGGAAGCAGTTCTCATATATAAACAAGATGACAGCAATGTACAGAACGCAGTGCATATCTGGAGCAACATTCCATCTGTTAAGAGGTGAATAATTTGTTTCTCAATTTAACTTAGCATATTCTTTTAAAACTGAATTAATGCAAAATGTTGTAAATAATTTAGGAAATCCTCTTCAACAATTCTTTGCTTTTTTTACTATAAAAAACAATAACAAATTTGCAGTAACAAAGTTTCAGAATTAGATATAGCAAAGATGCCTGAATTTGTGCATCCCTACTGTAAACAGGAATGTTGATCAATATTATGAATTAGAGCACTCTCCCGTATCTCCTAACAACAGAACAGTATGCTGTAAACTGTTTGGTCTCCTTCAGATATTTTGCTGGATTACGGTGCCAGGAACTATAGCTATTGGTCAATGCACCAAGGGAAGCTAGGTAATGGCATAAAGGTAATGGCAGGCTATATGAACTCTCACACAAAACTTTTATCATTTGACTATCAAGTTGCATTCCAGTTTAAACCAATTCCTACAACATACCTGGTAAGTAGGTAAGGTTTGCAACAACAGTTAAATAATTTACCAATGCCTTTATAAAGGATGATTCCAGGAGTGCTTTAGCTAACTGTATATAGTAATTCTTGGTAATTTTGAAATTTTGCAGTTATTCTCCAAATATGTGTCATATGAATATATAGCATTAGCAAGAAAAGACAAACCAATGTAGTTTAATTTGTATAATTATCTTTGTTAAATATAATTTGGCTTTCTGCATTTCCATCATGAGAACTACAGTATAATTTCTCTAAATGGAGTAAGAGGTATAAAATGAAACTGGACAGCAGGATAAAATATTGTTTATAATAAATAACATTTGAAAATATGAGTCAACTAGCCATTTTCATTTTGAGGAATTGTGGCTACGGTTTGGCTTCATTTTTCTATCAGAAGTTTCTTTAATAGCCAAGGGCAATGTTTGCTCTCTCTGTATGTATGTATGTATGTATGTGTGTGTGTGTGCGTGTGT